AAAGGTCTTCAGTATCTGAAACATATTTTTTTTTTTGTTAGCAATCTCTACCATGCGTGCCACGTGCCCAGTCCATCTGATCTTTCACCAGCCTCCCATCACTTCGTCGCTCTGCGGATCCGAGAGGTGTATTAAACCCGGACCTACTTTATCAGTCTAAGTCAAAGGGTTAATGACTCCGGGGTCTTCCGATAAAGGGACGGAGCAAACCTTTTCCAGTTCTTAAAACTCAAAACAGGTCAAGAGCTTACTTAATGCGTGACGTCGCTGATGATGCGATGTAGCAGGTACGCAAGGCGGGCAAAGAAGATCATCAGCTAACCCATACAACGCGGCACACCGACCTGTAAGACATTCCTGACAGTGCAATAGCGCAATCAGCTTTGTGTAAGATCGCGTTCCTAATTTGGAAGTGAACTGAAGCTGCCCGAAGAACGGGGCAAGGCGTACATTACACCCCCCCCCCAATTACATCGGCTATGTAAATAATAAGCCAGTAACATAAGCATGAAACCTCTTTAGAACGGGGCGAAAATTTCGGTTCTGCGTTGTTCCCGCCCACATACACAGGCCTCACACGGAGAGCTATTTATAATGTTATTCGAAAAACAAAAAAGAGATTTACAAGTCTGTATTAATAACAGCGAAAGAAAAACGTACAAGTACGTGACTTCCACGTGTCGTCTAGCCAATATAGAAAACTCAGTCATACGTAAAACGTGTTTTATGTAACAGTGGATTACAGGACGGTACAATAAATGTAATAGCGATGTGCTGTCGGTCTGTGATGTGCTATTTTAACACAAACAGTGTCTGTACAAATTCGGTACACATATTTAAACACGTGTATCCGGTTTGTTAGTATAAATATTTATAGATCCAGCTGGCAAATTTCATGTGTGCGTGCCGGTGTGGTGTTTACACCCAAAGGACTGCAATGGAGTTTGGCCACTCTGATGACAGGCCTGTTTGTAACAGCAGCGGGAGAAGCTCGCGTTTTTATTTGTTTGCTCTTTATATACACTTTATAGAAGGGAAAAATATAATTAGAATGCTGACTGTGGCCCTCTGCGCTGTGACGTAGTGCACTCTTGCAGGCAATTAAGGCCTAAAAGACTACATGACGTGACAACCCTGAAGATCACAAATGACGTCTTCGCCACAGTAAAAAAATCACTACGGAGTGAGATTTCAAATTCTTACGGCTCATAGCCCTCATGATGGAGGCAGCAAGGACCTCCGAAACATCGACAAACTTCTACGATACTACACGGCGCAACATCCCTGAAAACATTCATCTTCAAATAGGCCCAACTAAAACGTCGCGCCTGTAAACATGTTTTCATCTAAAATTATTCAGCGGATTTAGATTAAATTTGGTATTAGGTGTGAATTTGTCAATTATGACATTCACACAGTCCTCACTCCGGAACTTGTCCTCAATCAGCTGAATGCAGCACTGCACTACACCTGTAAGATTTATTGTATTATAATTGCCACGTAGCCACGGTGGTCTAGCGGATAGAACGCTGGCCTTGTAATCCTGGGGTCTCGGGTTCGATTCCCGGCGGTGCCCGAATTTTTAACTTGTGTTGGGCAAGGCCGTGGTCTAGGCAACACGGAGTTCTCCTCCGTGGCATCCCAACAATTACTCCATTCACACACAGAAGAAGGCAATGGCAAACCACTTCTGGATCATCTGCCAAGAACGTATATGAACAGGTCCCAGTCCGAGAAAAGGATGGAAGGATCCTGTTCATATGGACCTGTCGTCAGACAGAACACTAAATAATAATAATTGCCACGTACACAGTGGCTGGCATGGAACCGCGCGTTCCACGTCCGTCGGATGTAAAAGGTACGAGGATCAGAGACGTGGCAGAGGGTTAGCTCGCGGCCCCAGTTCCTGCGTCTGAAACGTTTTTCGTTTCCATTCTATTAGCAAGCTGGTAACGTAGACGAAACGCGAGGTTTCGTCCCGGTCTTGCAGATGATTCCTAACACTTTATATTTTAGATTTCTTCTTTTCTTCATTCCTGCATCCGTCAGACTCTCACATTTGCCTTCAGTGGATGCACAGCGCAGGAGCAATACTTATGAGACGAGAGTCAGCTACATACGAGGTGCGATCGGAAAGTTTCAAGACTGTGTCAATAGAGGGCGAACCGGATGTAGTACGAGCTTCTGCTGCTAGGGGGTGCGGCCTACATTCATAGTGAATCAGTGTGCCAGCCGGCATCATCGAATTAGCATTTGTTTCTTAGTTTCGGGCGTTTTGGTAGTGCATTGCACCGACCCTCCTGCGATTTCGGAATGGCGGATTTTCATGAACA